TCTGACCTCTGTCAACGATCTAGAATCAGGGACACTATCTCGTTTGCCAAGCCGTCAAAAATCAGACCGGCTGGACACGTAATGCGATTTGGAGACGACTGCTGGACTACAGCCATTATCAACTGGATTCCAAGGGACATCAAAAGAGCGTGTGGCCGCCCACCTATGAGATGATCAGACTTCTTCGTCAAGACCCTGAATGATCGGTTTGAGGCTCTTTGTGTTCCTGGAGCGAGCAGATGCCATTGGGCTACACTAGCATGCGACAGAGATGAATGGAGATGTTATTGGCACCCACTTGAGCAAATCGATGAATAACCGGATATAAAGTGATCAAGTGATCAAGTTATAATAAATATGGGTTCAGAGGAATAGTATAATGGGGAAGACATTTGCCTTGCATGTGGCCAACTTGAGTTTGATTCCATATAGTACCCTAATTCCAACTGGATTGGTCCCTTAGAGCAGAACCAGAGTAAGCCCTGAGCACTGCCAAGTGTGGCACAAAGACGCCCTATAAAAGATATATGTACATATATATATGTATTTTATACAATAATCATTCAATTATCATAAAAATTTAAGACAACCAGGAGTCCTTTTTTTCCAGTAGTTATTACCAATTTTCTTTAACAACCAGAAAATTTGAAAAATATGAAAGTAAAATAAATTGAAGTTCTGTACCAACAATTACAGCCTATAGCTTATTTAACATATTATGCAATAATATTTAATACTATTTTGCTGAGGCCCAAAAGATAGTACAGGGGTGAAGGTCTTGCATGTTACCAAAGCCAGTTCAATACCTGGCACTACTGTCCCGAGGGCTAGAAGTGATCCCTGAGCACAGAACCAGAGATCCTGAGCACAGCTGGGTGTGGCCCAAAATGAAAATAAATATTGAGTTTTTTTTTTATTTTAACAGAAAACAGGGAAAGTGTGCACTGTCATTTTATGAAAATTCTAGGTAAGAGACAGGAATATAGAAATAAAAACAATACAGTCTCAAGAAGGCTTAAGAAAAATAAAAATCTGACTGTCCATATAAAATCTCAAATCTGACTTTGGATATTTCTCTACCATGAACTATTGGGTACCAAATTCAAATAAAAAACTTCATCAGCTCCCTTCCTCTTCCAGCTTGATTGGTAACAGTTCATTCTTGTATTATTCATTACTGAATAGTAGCATACATACAGAGCTCCTACTTCACCCCATCCAAAAGTTGGGATGTTCCTATTAGCTTTTGCTGAGCACCATTATCAACAGGAATAATTCCTGAGTGCAGAGTGTGACCCAAAAAGCAAAACAAAAAGAATACATTAACTTTTTACCAATCTTATAGCAGAAGAATCTTCATCATCTAGTAACCACTATTAAAATGACAGGGGAACTTCTGGGGACAATCCTGGGGGTGGAGTCGTCTTGGGAAAGTCTGGCAGATGCTCAAAACCTCAAAGTGTCACCCTGGGACCCAGCAATTCTACCCCTAGGTCTTTACTCAAAGGAACTAGAATGGATGTCCATACAGACACTTGAACATGCATATCCAGAGCAACATTACTCATAATCATCTAAAATTCCTCATATGCCTGCATAAGCCCATATACTAGGACCTTTCCACTTTCAGTTTGCTCTGCGATAGTTAAATATGTAAATAGGCATGTAGGCTACTGTAGTCATTTGAAGATAAAACTGGAAACCCTCAAATAACCATTTATTACCATTAAATAAAACACAATTCAAGTATACAATGTAATACCATGCAGCCATTAGAGAGAACATGGTCAGAGTAGAGAGAGGCTAATGTGGTCACCTTGTACAGTCAACAGGGATTTGATCCTTTGTACTACAAAGGGTGCCCTGAGTACTACAAGGATTGATCTCTGAGTGCAGACCCCAAGAGTAAGCCCTGAGCACAGTGGGTGTGGCCCAAAAACCAGAGAGAGAGAGATCATTTTTTTGCTGGTATTCCTAAAAACTTTAAATCTGCATAGAAAACTATGGGAGAGAGACTAACTTTATCTCCCTTGATAAGGTTCATGCAAGGAAATTTGCCTCGCATGTGGCCAACCTGGATTTGATCTCAAGCACCCCCTACGGTCCCCAAGCCCACCAGGAGTGATTCCTTAGTGCAGAACCCAAGTGGCTGGGACACTTAAAACATACATGCACTACTTTTTAAGTGAAAAAGACAACTATAAAGGAAGTTGCTTTCTGACAAGGCCTCTGAGCCTTCCCAGTGAGCCCAGTGAAAAGAAATCTGCCTCTTACATCCAAAGTCACCTTAATTTGGCTTGTGCAATACCAATACCTCAAATTGAGACAAACTAATTTAGTATCATTTTTCCAGAAATTGAAAGCTGCCACTGAGAGACAGCTGGAGAAACCCCTGGGAAGGCTGGCTCCCTTACTCCAGGGAGCCACTATTTGAACCTGGAATCCTGATAAAAAGAATAGCAGTTTATTTTTTATGATTTGTCAGCACTTTCCTCAATATTCTGCTCTAACATAGATTCACTGGCCTCAGCAAAGCTAGTCATTCTACCTTTCTACTTCAGGAAGTAAGCAGTAGGTCAAAAAAAACCCTCATTTGTGATGAGAGCAACCTAAATTTTCATCAAAAAGAGGTCCTCTATGGGGCTGGAGCAATAGCACAGCTATCTGCTGTGCATGCATTTGCCTTGCATGCGGCCAACCCCTGTTCGATTCCCAGCATCCCATGTGGTCCCCTGAGTACCGCCAGGGGTGATTCCTGAGTGCAGAGGCAGGAATAACCCCTGTGCATCACCGGGTGTGACCCAAAAAGCAAAAATAAATAAATGATCACAAACGTAGTGGGGATTAAAAAAAAAAAAAGAGGTCCTCTAAATATATATATATATATATTTTTCTTTTTTGCTTTTTGGGTCACACCTGGCAATGCACAGGGGTTACTCCTGGCTCTGAACTCAGGAGTTACTCCTGGCGGTGCTCAGGGGACCATATGGGATGGTGGGAATCGAACCCGGGTTGGACGCGTGCAAGGCAAACGCTCTACCCGCTGTGCTATCTCTCCAGCCCCATCCTCTAAATATATTATTAAATATACGGCTCACATTTCAAGCCACATAAACTCTACTCTGTTTTTCTACTTCCAAATGGTCCCTACTGAAATCTAAGCAGTGACTAAAAGAGAATGAGTAAGTTCTGCATCTACTCACAAGAGCACTGTGCTACCAGTAAGAAAAAAAACATGCAAAACTGTGTTCTGTGCATGAAATCTGTGCTGCCGTGCTTGAGATAGGCAGGAGAAACAGAGCCTGTTTCTGAGAACATTTTTCCAAAACGTAGGAAAATAAGTTGCCTCTAGGGAAATTGATTGAGACTAAAAGTTCCCACTACATACTCCTGTGTACATGTAGAATGAACACTCTACCCCTTAAGTGCAATAACTTGCAGTGAAATAAAACACTCTTAGATTTTTTTTCAAAGAAGTACAAGTCTCTATGGGTTCTGCCTCTCCCAGATGTACACGCCATGGGGATGCTCAGCTCAGTGGAGCTGGCTTCACTCACGACAGCTCTATCGGATAGAGGGGTCCGGGTATATGTGGGCACAGCCCGGGGACAGCTCCTGTCCGGCGTCTTCCTCCATCCATGTAACAAAGGAAACTTTGGATCTACCCTCAGCATTGTGCAAAATGGAGACATATGCTGAGGGTAGAGCCGAAGTTTCTACTTTTTACATTTTACATTGTGCAAAATGAAGACTTTAACCTCCAGCCTACTCATCAACGGAGGAAAGAATTTCATCTAAATTTGTCTGCACACTTTCTGAACTGAGATTCTGACTATTCGCATTCAAGTGGCTCATATTCACATGTATAACCAACCCCCCTACAAGCCTAGGGCTCACATTCGCACCCTGGGAGAGAGCTGCACGTTCCCTAAACACTGTTTACATGCCAGGTGCTCCTAGTCTCCATATCTGTCACCACATCCAAAGCCCAAAGGTACTTAGGGGACACCTATGGCAAATGCAACAGCAGTCAGGGCGAATCCATTTGCCTCGAGCACTGGAGATTCTAAGAAACAGCTTCCCCAGGACCGCCCTGCTACCTCCTCTGCTGGCCTGCAACGAGACCAAAGTCACTTCTCTGAATTCTGCGCCGCCGCGCTCACAAACGCCACCCACGCCGCCCCTGTAGACACCGAGGAGCTGGAGGAGATCATTCCTTAGGAGGTGGAGGGTGGTCCCCAAGCGAGCGCGGGGAGAGGAAGAGAGGACTGAGCGCACCAAAGGCCGGGGCGTGGCTCTGGGTGCCGGCTGGGCCACTGGGCACGGCCCCACCTCCTTTGAAACGGCCGAGAGGAGACGGGCGCGAAGCCCATGGAGCCCCCACTGGGAGCGAGCGTGCTCCCTCGGGGGCCGCTCAAGGCTCGGTCTGGCCAGCCCCCACTGGCCGCTCGATGCTCCCTCTGGGGCCACGAAGCCCGCACGCCCCGCAGGCGCTATGGACCCGAACTCGCGAACTTGGAGGAGCTGTGCGGCGCCCTGCTGACGCCTGCAGCCTAGCATGGTGACCTCGGCCGGCGAGCTGGCGCGGAGGGGTTGCAAAGGGATAGTCACAGCTCGGACTAGCGCGCTGCGGCACAAACAGCGGTCCCCGGCGCGCGGGGGCGCGGGTGTTCCGAGGGGGCGTGGCCGGCTGCCACTCTCCGGGGGCGTGGCCAACCGCAGCTCCGGGGGCGGGGCGCGGGCGTGGCCAACTGCCCGGCCCGGCCCGTGGGGGCGTGGCCGACGCAGCTCCGGGAGGCGGGGCCGACTGCAGGTCCGGGGGGCTAGGTGGGGGCCCAGGCTGCAGGTCCTGGGGGCCGGGCGGAGCCGGCTGCAGCCCAGGGGGTGCGAAGTGGGGGTTGGGGGCGGTCAGGTCCCGCGGGGCGGGCCGGGGGCCGAGTGCGGGGGAACGTGCCCCGGGGGCGGCCGCGGGGCCACGCGCTCGCTCGCGGCTGGCTCACCGGTGATGTCCAGGTACAGGTCGTCCCGCTCATCCGGATCGTCCAGGTCCTGCGACGTGGAGCTGCGGCTCTTCTTCGCCGTGGGCGAGGTGGACGAGCAGCGCCGCGCGGAGGGGGGCGCGGCGGCCCAGGTCTGCCGCCGCTCTTTCTTCCGCTTCATGGGGGCGGTCGCGGCCCGTCAGGGGTCCACGACCATGGCCCCGAGCGCTGGCCCCCCGCCGGGCACGGAGCGGTCGAGCCCCGCCGGAGGCGGCCGCGCAGGAGCCGCAGGACGCGCCCGGCCCGCTGGCCCCGGCCGCCGCGGGTCGGGCCCCACAGCCCGGCTCGGGCGCCCCCAGCCCGCCCCCAGGGCCCGCAGCCCGCCCGCGCGGCCCACGCTGCCCGGGAGAAGCGCGCGCGCCCACCGGGACCCCCAGGAGGGCTGTTCCGAAGAGCTTCATTCACAAAAAAAGGCCCACAACCCTCCTCGGGGCCGCGATCCCGGGTCTGCCATTGGCCGGGCCCGCGTGACGTCACGCGGACGGCGCGTCGCTACAGGCAGGTACTCGGTGACGCCATAAAGAAAGTCTGCGCCCCGGCCAGTCGCGAGCGGGTGTCTCTGGCCGCCTGCCCGTGGAACTTTCTGTGCCCCCCGCCCCTCCCCGCGGCCCGGGGCAGGACCCCTGCCCGGTTTCCTTTAGGGGGCTACTGAGACTTGCCGCCAGCGCCCCCGCCCCGCCCCCACCAGTTGCCTGACTGCGTTCCTGGGCATGTGGGCTCTAGGGAGTATTTCTCGGTTGTCCATGTAAGGGGCATGGTTTGGGGTGGTGTGGACAGAGTGCCCGCCGCCCTGCAGACAAGGAAGACTTGGTCTCAGAACTGGAGCGCTACAGTGTAAATCGGCCACGTTCTAGTTACCAATCGTTGCCCAGCCTTCAAAGAAATCAACCCAGAGCTCCTGAATTCAGGAGTCGGTAAAATTGCTGGAAATATGATATAAAGTAATGGCTTGTGCCTCAGTTTCTCCTCTCGGAATCCTGTACCTTCATTAGCTCATTTTACACAGCAGCTGCTGTATTTTCCTTAGCTATGGTGTCATCAGGTCCTCTGAACTTCTAAAACAGGTGGCAAATTTAGTCCTTGCACTGTATTTGAAAACTGTAACCAGACCCCTTTTTTCTACTAGATTAAAGTATACCAATCTTTCTGGAACATAAGCAAAACTCCCCGTTTGGAGGACATTTAAACAAATTCTGGGGGCTGGAGCGATAGCACAGCGGGTAGGGTGTTTGCCTAGCACGAGGCAGACCCAGTTCGATTCCCAGCATCCCATATGGTCCCCTGAGCACTGCCAGGAGTAATTCCTGAATGCAGAGCCAGGAGTAACCCCTGTGCACCGCTGGGTATGACCCAAAAAGCAAAACCAAAAAAAAAAAATTCTGGTGATAGCACCGCGAGGGTTTGAAAATTGAATGAAAAACAGTCTTTAGATCTCATGACCCCAAATTTCACAACTTCAAGTAAACTGTTTCCAATTTTCACTATTTCTAATTCCGTCCTTCATTATTTTCAAGTTTCTCCTGTAATTCCTCAATTACGATCAATCTGTTCAGAGAAAACAATCTGAATTATCCATGAGGAGGCCTGTTAGAAATGCACATTTTCACAGTACTTCCAGTAGGAACTATTTAATTTCCATAGTTAGAGACCATTTTTTAACCTTTAGCCCAGCATAATAAAGAAGAAAGGTTTTAACAGTCTGGAGCTTAAAAAATAAAAAAAACTGCCAATTTTGTCAGAAATTTTGGAATCGCATTCACTTTCTACTAAGATTTCTTTTTTAAAAAAATTGATAAATTTAAAGTGGTCTAAGTTTTGTCTGTAGAAAGAGCAGAGAAACAAGTGACTTGGAGGGGGGAGGGGGTGGTAAAGTGCCCTGCAAATGAGTCTTGGTTTGCAGGAACTTACTGATCGCAGGTTCTTGGTTTCCTCGTGGAAGCTCAGAAACAGCTGTTTTGTTTGTTTTGGTTTAGGTTGGGTTTGGGGACTACACCCAGTGCTCAGAGCTTCTGGCTCTGCAGTCAGGAATTGCTCCTAGCAATGCCCAGAGTCAGATGCGTACCCAATGTACACCAGCCCGTGGTTCGATCCCGGTGTTCCTGGCAAATAGATAAGAGGGCCCTGGTAATGAGCTTTTGGGAAATAATACCTGACAGTCCAAAGGCATGAGGAACACACCCTATTAAGATGCAGATCCGGAGCTCTTCTGAGAGGGAAAAACAGAGGCAAAACTCAGAGAAGGGTGCCCCCCAAGCAGAGGACCATCTAAAGGCCAAGATAAGAACAGGAAAGGACCATCTAGATGCCCAGGCCTTCCCTGGGACTACACTCAGGTTAACTTTTATATAAAGAATTCCTGAGAATTCCTGACCAAGACAATTTTCAGGAATTGTATGTGACTTTGGAGAAGATCATGTTGAAGTTGGGGGGACCCCCACCGACTTATGTGAGATGGAGAGGAGAAAAATGGTCACTTTCTCCCAATCTGCCATCTCAGGACCGGCTGGGAAGGTGGAAACAGTTTCTTCAAGGAAACCTCCCTTGCTCCCCACTTTACCAAGTCATCTTGCAACACTTGGTATCCTATATACTTCCTAAAACCCATCAAGAGTGATCCCTGAGCATAGAGCCAGGACTTATCCCCGAGCACTGCCAGGTGAAGTCCCCAAATAGAAAGAAATGAAGGAAAAGAGTCCTTTCTCAACTTGGGTCTCAGCCCCCCACCAGGATGTTCCAAGGATGAAAATCCTGTAAACGGGGGAGGGATTACGAGGGGGCTACGACTAGAGGCTAGAGGCCCAACAAGTAGGATTGGGTGGGGGTTGGTGGGGGGGGAGCGGGAATGAATCACAAGGAAGTGAGGTCAGAAGCGAACTGCAGTCAGAAAAAAGCTTGCAATGCACCTATAAGTTATTTCTTTCCTGGGTAAATTTACCATGAGAGATGCTTATGGAAAAATGTTTTTTTTGTGTGTATATTTCAAATAGGTCCTATACCTAAAAATATGAAAACTTCATCTAAAATTAATGGAGGGCCAGGACCATGGTATAGCAATATGACATTTGCCTCCTAAAAAGATGACCAGACTTCAATCCCCAGCGTATCTTATGTTCCTCCAGCACCTCCAGGATTAATTCCTGAGTGCAAAGTCAAGAGTAAACCCTGAGCATCACAGATGTGGTTTAAAACCAAAAATAAATAAATACAATTAATAGAAAGCTGGTCAATAGATACATGATATTAATGTTGAAACATTAATATAAATATGAGACACCACAAATTTCAGTTTTAGTCATAATTTTTTTTCTTTTTGGGTCACACCCAGCAATACACAAGGCTTACTCCTGTCTCTGCACTCAGGAATCACCCCTGGCGGTGCTCAGGGGACCATATGGGATGTTGGAACTAGAACCTGGGTTGGCTGCATGCAAGGCAAACACCCTACCCGCTGTGCTATTGCTCCAGCCCTTAGTCATCATTTTTAAGGTCAAATGTAAATAGAAACTAGAGAGTGACCGGCACTGGTGATGTAGGCAGGTAGACAGGGAAAGGCCCTCGGCAATGAAACTGAGGTCAACAAAACTTCTGAGAAGGAAAATTTTAAGACTGATCCACTCTTGGATACGGGAAAACAAAGACCTGATTAAGACCTTCAACCGACCCTGAGGAGATTGGACCCCTCCCCATGAAGTCTTCTCCTCAAAAATCCTGGGACCTCTCCCTTAATCCAATTAACTTCAGTGATTCAGCCCAGAGAAGACTCCAGAACTTCCTGATCAAGACAACCTGAGAAGAGCCTGTAAAAGCAACCTTGAACAAAGGAAGGGTGCGCATATGGTGCCCGAGCCCATGTGGTACCTGAGCACATGTGTTACCCACTCTTGAGATGTGTACTTTCATGCTTTCCTATCTAATGCTGAGATCTGTGTAGGAATCTCTCTCCACCCTTGGAGAAGCCTGCATTCTCTCTTGAGCGCTTTACTCTCCCTCCCTCTCCCTCCCTCCCTTCCTTCCTCCTTCTCCCCCCCCCACCCCCCCCCCCCACCCCCCGCCCCTTCCCTCCACACTTTCAAAACACCCTCCAAATAAAATCTGTTTTACTTCACGGCTTGTCTACTCCTGAAATCTCTTCTGGGAGCGAGACAAGAACCCAGTAACCCTAGGTCCCGGGTGGCAGAGGCAGATCGGGAGAGAATGACCTGTCTTTCTCCTCCCGACTCATGTGAGCCACCCGTGTTGTCCACCGACATCACTGGGAAACACACAACCCAGAATTTTCGCCGGCATATTTAAGCATAACTGGTTTTAGTTCCTTGGATAGTCTGGTGATTCAACATTTATCTGAAATTCACTTCATGTTTCTGACACTATGACTGAAAAATTCTTAGAATTGTAAAAAAGGAGAAAATGAAATATTTATTGCACTGCTATCTTTTCTGGATGCAGTATGAGGACTTCCTACGAGACATTGTCATTCTCTTAAGTTTAAGTGAGGGACCACAGGGTTGGTTGCCTGGTTGAAGGAGGGCTTTTGGATTGGAGTTTTGTTTGAAAACTCATGTTTCACTCATGTATACCCCAAATATAAATATATATGTATATGTATATGTATATATATATATATATATATATATAAAACATTTGCCTTGGGGTTGGGATCACACAGATGACTATGCTCAGGGATAACTCCTGACTCTGCACTAAGAAATTACTCCTGACTATGTAGCTGTTAGAAAAGACGAAGTCATGAAATTTGCACACAAGTGGTACTACATGGAAAGTATCATGTTAAGCGAAATGACTCAGAAAGAAAGGGATAGACATAGAAAGATTGCATTCATCTGGGGAACATAAAGTAACAAAATAGGAGACTAACACCCAAGAATAGCCGAGATTAGTACCAGGAATTTTACTCCATGGCTTGGAGGCCAACCACACATGCGAGGGAAACAGGGAGCTCAGATAGAGAAGGGAGCACCAAATAAAGGGTGTTGGGAGGATCCTCCCAGGATGGGAGAAGCATGCTGAAAGTAGACTATAGACCAAACATGATCGTCACCCATTGCCTCTTTTGCAAACCACAACACCCAATAAGAGAGAGAGAACAAAAGGGAATGCCCTGCCACAGAGGCAGGGTGGGATGGGGGGGATGAGGGGTGGGAGGGATACTGGGATCCGTGGTGGTGGGAAATGTGCACTGGTGGAGGGATGAGTATTTGATCACTGTATAATTGAAACCCAAGCACCAAAATTTGTAAGTCTACAACTGTACCTCATGATGTCTCACTA